CAAGCATATAGGAAATTCGTTTTGCGAAGCACCTCCAAAACGGAAAACCCTTTCGTCTAGCGGGTTTTCCGTCTTGCGAGGCATTCGTCTTGCGGGGCACCACTGTATTTGCACTGTTGAATTTATCTTAATGCTACCAGTGTTCTCCCCTCCCTCTGTTTGTGTAGTACTCTAAAGCTGGAAAGGAATCGCTTTCAGTTGCTTCCCAGAACATAAGGTGTATCGGTCAGTTGTACTAAAAATAATAACTCTCTGTAGACATATTATTCATCTTTTGCATTTATATCCCACCTTTCCTCCAAGGTGGTGACGTACATAATTCTTCTCCCTCTTTTATCCTCTTAAACAACAACCCTGTGAGGTAGGCTAGGCTGAGAATGAGTGACTGTTCCAAGGGCACGCAGTGAATTTCATGGCTGAATGGGGATTTGAACCCTGCTCCCTCAGGTCCTGGTCCAGCACTCCATCCACTACACCACAGAGTGACCTCATCAGGTCCAGTGGGATTTACTTCTGAGCAGATGTGCATGTTGTTTGTTGTTGTTTAGTCGTGTCCGACTCTTCGTGACCCCCTGGACCAGAGCACGCCAGGCACTTCTGTCTTCCACTGCCTCCCGCAGCTTGGTCAAACTCATGTTGGTAGCTTCGAGAACACCGTCCAACCATGTCGTCCCCTTCTCCTTGTGCCCTCCATCTTTCCCAACATCAGGGTCTTTTCCAGGGAGTCTTCTCTTCTCATGAGGTGGCCAAAATCTTGGAGCCTCAGCTTCAGGATCCGTCCTTCCAGTAAGCACTCAGGGCTGATTTCCTTCAGAATGGATACGTTTGATCTTCTTGCAGTCCATGGGACTCTCAAGAGTCTCCTCCAGCACCATAATTCAAAAGCATCAATTCTTCGACGATCAGCCATCTTTATGGTCCAGCTCTCACTTCCATACATCACTACTGGGAAAACCATAGCTTTAACTATACAGTGGTAGCTCGGGTTACAGACGCTTCAGGTTACAGACGCTTCAGGTTACAGACTCTGCTAACCCAGAAATAGTACCTCGGGTTAAGAACTTTGCTTCAGGATGAGAACAGAAAACGTGTGGCGGCAGCGGGAGGCCCCATTAGCTAAAGCGGTGCTTCAGGTTAAGAACAGTTTCAGGTTAAGAACGGACCTCCGGAACGAATTAAGTTCTTAACCCGAGGTACCACTGTACGGACCTTTGTTGGCAAGGTGATTTCTCTGCTTTTTAAGATGCTGTCTTGGTTTGTCATCGCTTTTCTCCCAAGAAGTAGGCGTCTTTTAATTTTGTGAATGCTGTCACTAATAGGATTGGGAATTCCAATCCGAGGTCGCCATAGTGAAAAATGGACACAGGCCAGTCTCTATTCCAGATTAGGGAAGAGGGATAGATCTGATTCACTTCCCGTCTGAGGGTGAACCTACATAAGTCACCGTTTCTGAAACAGTGCAAGAACTGACGGGCAGTTGTCCTTCAAAATCCGATCAGGTGCTCAGGAGAGGAGTGCTGGGAAGTTTCCCTTTCGGATGAGTCTCCTGTACGTAAGAATATCCTGTGGGCACTAGGGCTGGGCAATATATCACCCAAAACCGGTTTGAGGTCCATATCATGGTATCGGTTTCATAATTTTTGACCTGGCCATATATCACGAATCATTGTGTTTGTGTGCTGTGCAAAAATCGCAATGTGGGAAAAACCGTGAAACCAGCCCATGGCTCCACATACCGTAGCTCCATGCTTATTTCAGACATTGTGGTATATCAGCATATGACGATCTTTAGCTGGTGATATATCACAATGTTGAAAAACAGATATCGCTTCGCCCTAGCAGGCAGGTGGTGCTTCTAAAAGACATTTCTTCTGCCCTTCTGATCACTTTACCAGGGCTTTCCAAAGGCTCCAACTGGAGCATGGGAACTGTCTGAATGCCCCTTGCAAGCATCAAAAGGCTTTCAGATAGCACTGGGAACTCCAGTAATCAGGATATCAGAGCTCAACATCACAATACGATACGATAGGTTACTCTTTATTGTCATTGCCTCATACAGAACAACGAAATTGAAAAATCTACATCAAACATTCAGAAACCAACAAGCCAGCTATCCCAGCCTGGTTATCCCCCTAAAAACTCAGATACCCCATAATTAAATACAATATACTCCCATAGAGACTACCTTACCCTGCGTTTAAAACCAAAATTGCATTTGGATAGAAACTGTTTCTCAGGCAACTAGTCCTAGTCTTTATAACCCCCCCGTACCTTCTTCCAGAAGGCAGAAGCTGAAAGAGATAATTTCCGGGGTGCGCACTATCCTGCGCTATCTCTGCAGCTTTCTTATGGCACCTGGAAACATAGATTTGATCCAAGGTGGGAAGAGTGCACCCAATTATTCTCTCCGCAGTCTTTACATCCCTGGACAGCATTATTTTTCCCCTGACTGTGCAGCTCCCAAACCACACACGCAGACCATAAGTTAATACACTCTCCACAGTACAATGGTAAAATGCCATCAACAGGTGACACCAGGTGATGATTGACAAGTGGGCAATCCTGCCCACATGCCAAATCTGGCCCTCCAGGTGGTGGGGTGTTAACAGTCTTGTCTGCCAGCCCGAAGAGGTTCTGTACCCCTGCCCTAAGGCAGTACGCTCAATCTTTGTTGTTGTTTAGTCATTTAGTCGTGTCCGACTCTTCGTGACCCCATGGACCAGAGCACGCCAGGCACTCCTGTCTTCCACTGCCTCCCGCAGTTTGGTCAAACTCATGCTGGGAGCTTCGAGAACACTATCCACTATACGGTCAATCTAGCCAGTGCTAATTCATATTGCGGAATTTGCATTTTTTGATCAGTTGGAATTTGTGGGCACTCTTCAAGGGCAGCCCCACATAGAGTGAGTTGCAGTAGTCCAGCCTATAAGTTACTAAAGCATAAATATTTGCAGACAGGCCTGTCTGCTGCAGAAAAGGATGGAAGCTGGCAAACCAGCCAAAGCTGGCGTGCTACCTGAGCACCCCAAAGCAGCACCTGGTCGAGGAGCACCCCCAAACCAAACCGAACTTGGGGTGCAACCCCAATCCAAAGCAGAACTGCACACCTGTCTTGGCCGCTCCTGTAACCTGCAGCAACCGCTGCTCCCCACACAGCCAGTTTAAAATACTCCGTGAGCAAGACAGCGCATTATTTAGGACAATATGTACTTGCAAAAGAGACGGGTGAAAGATATTACTTTTGTGGCTGTGAATCATTGTGCCTTCAGTTACAACATTCAAGCAATGTGCGGCGGAAAACTGTGATGCTTATCGCTGGTCCCACCCCACCCCGTCAGCTGAAACCTTTCTCCTGAATCTGAACTCGTGACCCGAATTTCTTCTCCTCTTTCTGGCAGACATTCGTGGTTTGAGAAAACAAATGATGGTTTGGGTGGATCTGAGATGGTGCTTTTGGGCTTAACCTTAGTCCCCAGCTTGAGATATACCGTATTTTTCTGTGTATAAGACTAGGTTCTTTTTATCAAAAAATTAGGTTTAAAATTGGGGCTCGTCTTATACATGTGTAGTGCTGAGGGGTGTTTTCTTAATTTGGAGTTCCCAAAAATAGGGGGTGTCTTACACACGGAAAAATACGGTATTTGCAAGCTTCCATGCTCCCAGTTTGCAGGAGCTACCAATCGGCCAGAATCACTTTGTGGGTGTGTGATTTTTGTGTGTGTGTGTGTGTGTGTATGGGGAGGTGTGTTAATCCTCCCACGATTCAGCCCAGTGGTTCCTTGACAGTGAATTAAATTGGAGCGATTGGAACAAGGAGCCGACGAGATCCAGCGAAGAGTGTGTTCCTTCTCTCCTCTTTCGCTTTGCTCGATTGGAATTGGCTAGCGGTGAATCTGTAGCACTTAAAAGGAGCTTTCAGAGTGGAATTTTAGCAGCAGATTAAAAGATTATTAAGAAGGCGGGCTGCATTTGTTGCCATCCTTCCAGCCAAGGCTCTTTAAGAGAAGGATTTTTGTTGTTGTCATCGTCGTTCCTTTGCTCTAGCCGGGCTGACCTTAATGTTCGCTTGGAAGCGAACATGACAAGGAGAGTCCGAAATGGGAGGGGCAGACTTGCAGCCCAGCGTCTTGGAAAAGCTAATATTAGACTTTCTGGTGCCAACTTTGCAAGAAGGGGATGGGGTGGAGGCTGTTGGTTGGCACAATCTCCTTTCCTACCAGGGCAACAACCTTTGCTTTCAATAGGGGCCTATGACACGCCGACAGTAGGCCGTGTTGAATTTTCCAACTTTCTGCTTCCAAAAATGAGGGTTGCTAAAAAGTTGACTTGGGAATTCAAAAGAGATTTTGGTTAAAGTAATGCGATTTAGGTCTGCTTGGTAAGTAAAATACAGTGGTACCTTGGTTCTCAAACTCCAAAAACCTGGACGTATGTGTTCTGGTTTTCAAACGTTTTTCGGAAGCCGAACATCTGATGCGGTTGTCGGCTATTGTTTCCGGGGCATCTGCATCAGTCAGAAGCTGCGCCTTGGTTTTCAAACATTTTGGAAGTCAAACAGTCTTCCGGAACGGATTAAGTTTGGTGCTTTTGCTATTTATTTTGCATTTTTGTTTTTGAGGCTTTTTCGGTTAATTTGTTTTTGTGACTGCGTGGATGATAATTTTTATCAGCTACAACGCTGTCTTGTTTATTTTATAGTACAGTACATTGATTATTGCTTTCATTGTATGGATCAATGGTCTCGTTAGATAGTAAAATTCATGTTACATTGCTGTTTTAGGGGTTGTTTTTAAAAGTCTGGAACGGATTAATCCGTTTTGCATTACTTTCTATGGGAAAGCGCGCCTTGGTTTTGGAACGCTTTGGTTTTGGAACGGATTAAGTTTGAGAACCAAGGTACCACTGTATGTATAAAATTGCATAGAAATCACTAAAAATCGTGGAGTTGGAAGGGACAACAAGGATTATCTAGTCCAACCCTCTGCAATTCAGGAATCTTTTGCCCGACATGGGACTCGAACCCACAACTGTGAGATTAACAGTCTCCTGTTCTGCCAATGAATCTATCCCTGGCTTTTGAAGTACTTGCAGTTACATTATACATTATTTATGATTATAATTAATTATTATTAGTTAGCATTACCTGACATTTTCAGAAGGTGAAATTAAAATTCCTTGGTTTTTCCGAAAGCAGCGCTTCTTTATCAGATGTAGACTTACCAAGCTAATGGTTGCCCAGTCACAAAAATAATAGCAGATTTGAATTCCTCACCCTCCCAAAACTTGTTTTTAAGAGCTGAAGAAGTTTGCAAAAATTAAGTTTCACCCTCTAAAATGACACACTCTACTGTAACGGGCAGAAAGTCAACTGATGTAGCTTCCCCTAGCATAGGGGTACACAGCGTTAGAAACTCAGATATATGAGCTAGGTGCCAACAGTGTTAGAAATTAGCCAGGGGCCAGGCGCATTTTGCGCCTAGCTTTCGACCACTTGCACCCGGACATCTTCTTCGCTTGGTCGCAAGTGGTCAAAAGCCACCAGTTATATTTTATCCAACAGTTATATTTTATCTGCGCAATCGGAATGAATCTCAGGAACCAAAATGCTTTTTCTGTGCAACAGGAGCAGTCACCGTTAAGAAAAAGAGGCCGGAATAGGCCAATATATATGTGGGCAAGCGACTTTTCATCTTTTAAGTTCTCAAAACTCTTAACCTAGCTCAAGGTTGTCCACTGAACTAGCTGAGAATCAACTGCTGTCAGTCCATTATTTAAAAAACAAGACGTCATTGGCAACGAGACATTACATTTTGGCGACTGTAGCCTTGTTTTAAGGAGCCATTTGGCACCCGGTGTTAGAAACTCCGATTAAATGGAACTGTGCATTCATCTTTCCAGCTCATCAGTATCACTCTTTTGGCTGTGTTTATATTTTGATTTTGTGTGAGCCGCTTTGAGCCCAGATTTACTTGTGGGAAAAGCGATATCTGAATAAATAGACACGGGCAGCAATAAATTCTGCTGGCAGCTGTCTGTCTCAGGAGACAACAGAGGAGTGTGTCTTTGGGGGTGAAGTCAATCTGTTAGAAGGTTACAGCACCTCCTGTGGCTGTAGAGACTGATATGGGAGAGGGCCTTCTCAGTGGTGGCTCCTCCCAGACAACTTTGGAACTCCCTTCCTAGTGAAGTTAGACCGACTCCCTCCTTCTTTATTATTACCGTATTGGTCTGAATAAAAGCCTCACTTTTCCCCCAAATTCTGACCGTGAAAAGTTAAAGTGCGGCTTTAATTCGCGACCTTACAAAAATTGGCTTTTACGATATCACTGCTGAAACAGACATACGGTAAAACGGAATGGGTGTGAGTTCCTGCAGAATTTTAAGGGAGGGGCTTATATTTGGGTATTGCCCCCCCCTGAATTTTAAAGGTGCGGCTTATATTTGGGTGTGCCTTATATTCAGGCCAATATGGTATTATTATTTATTGAATTTTTATGCCACCCTATACATGGAGGTCCCAGGGTGGTTCACAGAACAAAATCAAAATATAAAGCCACAAAATATATTGTGGTTCTTCCGCCAGTGGGAAAAGACCTCCATGTTCCAACAGGCTATTGGGAACTGTTTTTTTTAAAAGGGATTTTAATAGTGTTGTGCTCTTTTTCTTTTCTGCATTTTAGTAGATTTGTTTTTTAAATACTGTTTTAATTTTATTAGAGCTGAATTGCTTTTTAGCGATTATCCTTTGCATGCTTTTAGCTTTCTGAACTGCGTGGCTTGTGTAAGCCTCCTTGAGGCGGTCAGGTCTGGGGGAAAGGAGGTTATACAAATGAATAAAATACGAATAATATCAGAGGCAGCCCTTTCTCGCTGGCGAGTTTAGGGCTCTGGCCACCAAGATCTGGGCTGCATCAATAGGAGTATAGCATCTAGATCAAGGGAAGTAATAGTGCCACTGTATTCTGCTCTGGTCAGACCTCACCTAGAGTACTGTGTCCAGTTCTGGGCACCACAGTTCAAGAAGGACACTGACAAACTGGAACGTGTCCAGAGGAGGGCAACCAAAATGGTCAAAGGCCTGGAAACGATGCCTTATGAGGAACGGCTAAGGGAGCTGGGCATGTTTAGCCTGGAGAAGAGGAGGTTAAGGGGTGATATGATAGCCATGTTCAAATATATAAAAGGATGTCACATAGAGGAGGGAGAAAGGTTGTTTTCTGCTGCTCCAGAGAAGCGGACACGGAGCGATGGATCCAAACTACAAGAAAGAAGATTCCACCTAAACATTAGGAAGAACTTCCTGACAGTAAGAGCTGTTCGACAGTGGAATTTGCTGCCAAGGAGTGTGGTGGAGTCTCCTTCTTTGGAGGTCTTTAAGCAGAGGCTTGACAACCATATGTCAGGAGTGCTCTGATGGTGTTTCCTGCTTGGCAGGGGGTTGGACTCGATGGCCCTTGTGGTCTCTTCCAACTCTATGATTCTGTGATTCTAAGATCACTCGACTGCTGCTGGCTGGTGTTGGAATAGCCAAAACCCACATTGTTCAACTGTGTGTGAGACCTGGGAGAGAGAACCTTTTAATTGCCACTTCCGACAATCCAGCGAGGCATTTAACAGCGATGCCTTTAATGCAGCCTCCCCACCCTCGCAAAAAAAACCCCAAACACCACGAGTTGACATTTTCCCCTCTGCAGAGTATGGATAATGAACGCATTGTACCTGTGTAGGAGAAACAGGGAGTGAGACTAATTGTGCTTGCCTAATCCCCTAAACTGGAATAGCTGTCATAGTTTTGGGAGCCAAAGGGAAGCTGCAGCCAGATGAACTGTATTTTGCTATAAAGCCTACACACACACACACACACACATTTTATTAATTTTCCAAAAATAACAAAAAACAACAGCAATACCAAAACAAAACAAAACAAATTGACTTCCCCTTAGACCCTTCCTTGATTCCATCATTTATCAACATACCGCATGTCCATAGTTAAATTTTAACTCGTTTAATTCACCTATTATCCATTCATAACAAAACTACACATAGTTTTTAAAAGTCTGCTATTGTATTAACCTGTGCACATTGCTTCTGTATATACACAATAAACATCTTCCGTTCTTCCTTAAATTCGTTGTCGTCGCTTCCTCTTAGTTTCATTGTCAATTTTGCCATTTCAGCATATTCCGTTAATTTAACTTGCCAATCTTCTTAAGCTGGGACACCTTCTTCTTTCCAACGTTGTGCTAGTAATGTCCGTGCGGCTGTAGTGGCGTACATAAATAAATTCTTTTGAGGTTTTGCTAAGTCCACTCCTGTAATACCTAATAGGAAAGCCCAAATCGTGTATAGTCAAAACACATTGGGTTTGATGGCAGGCGGGATTGCCAATGTCTTTTATTTTATTTTTTCTATTCTATTTTTTTGCCAAGCACATAACGTGCACAAGTACTCTGGCATAACATGCATCCGTATGAGCGCTGCTACACCCTTTGTATAGGTTTAAGACCACAAAGCCAATATTACATCTCAGAATAACACAGGGAAAGAGGCAATAAAACCCATGTTGCAGTGTGACTGAGTGACTCACTTCCCCGGGAGCAAAGCCCCACTGTACTCTACTTCTGAGTAGACATGCCTAAGGGTTGCGCTGCGAAATGCTCACAAACTAGAGCCAGTGACCGTTTGCATTGCCTTAAGACTACAAAGCCGATGATGCAGTGCGGGTAGGTTACTATCTTTTGAAGGTAGAAAACAGAAGCCCAGGGTGTAGTGTTTGTATTTGGGAAGGCAGGGCCTGCAAACGAAGCGAGAAATTGTTAATGTCTGCCGTATGTCAATGCAAACAGGACCAGCTGAAATCCACAGGGCTCATGCGACTCTCCATAGTGGTTTGGCAGAAGAGGGGGAAATCTCTTGCACAACTCTTATAAACTGGAGCTGTTTAGCCTCCTTCTCTTAGGCTTTTCCAGCTCTTGAAGTGGCTTGGAGGCATTGCAGAAAGCAGATGAACTTTCCACGTCTCTGGGGAGACTGTGACTACACGCCATAGATTTAAAACCCATTTGATGGACGTGACTCTCCCAAAGAATCCTGGGAAACAGCAGTTTGTTAAGGTTGTTGGGAATTGTAGCTCTGAGCCGGGTAAATACAGTTCCCAGGATTCTTGGGAGGAGTCATGTGCTCTTAATGTGCTTTAAATGCGTATGCAGTCATAGGCTGTGTGATCCATCTGTGTGTGAACTGTGCCATTTCAGCTTGGCTTCTGGGTTTTTTTTATAAAACAAATAAACTGCATGTAGAAATCTAGGATGGTGGTGGATTTGAGCCTGACTTCCTCCCTGACGTGCTAGCTTTCTACATGCAGGGATTTATGTATTAATTGTACACAGGAGCATTCTGCCATGTGAGTCCTGGCAAACTGAACTGCTGTGGTCCGGGCATAGGTTAACCCAGAGGGGGGAACTAGGGCCTTGACTTTCAGCCGGAGGTTTGCTGAAAGAGGTAGAAGAAAATTGAGTAAAACTCTGGATTTAAGAAATGCTTAATGAGACTGACTTGTTGCATCTTACACATGCGCTAGGTTAAGAGTTTGCACAGAAATGAGAACAGGGCCTTTTCTGCTGTGACACCCCTTTGTGGAATGCTCTCCCCAGGGAGGTTTGGCTGTTGCCTTCATAATACACCTTTAGGTGCCAGTCGAAAACTTTCCTCTTCAACCAAGCCTTTGGCCGATTGGCATCCAAGGTTATTGCTTTGTTTCTGTTCTTCGTTTTTATTACGCATTTTGTGTTTTTTGTCTTGCATTTCTGTGATGTGAAGCATAGCAAGATCTACGGACGGAGGGCAGTTTACAGATTTAATAAACAACACGTGAATGGAAATAACGTATATAAACACATTATATATGGGGAAGCCGCTTTGCAAAAAAATAAAATTAAAATGTCCATATTAGGGGAAATGGCATGCAAACGTATAAATTGGGAAAAGTTCGAACTAAAAAGTGGGTGGATTTTTATGATGACCTTTAAAAAATAAAGAGTACAATGGATGTTCAGTGTTGCGAACGTGATCAGT